ATGGACGAGGTGGAAAGGCTTGCGGAAATGGAGCGGCAAAGGTATATTCGTTGAATTATGTCGACAATGTTCCTCTTGAAAATCGTGTTAAGATTGAAGAAAAGAACAAACAATTAATATATTAATATATTAATTTCTCCTTTTCTCTCTTATATTGCTTTTCCTCTCTCTTGTGTGTATCAAGTGGAACATGTATATTTATTTTGCTTAATTTAAATTTTTGTTATACGCTGTTTTTTTTATAATTGTGTTATCAGGAAAAAGAAAGAATTAATGAACAAAATCTTCACTACGAGCTCAGTTGGGTAAGAATGTGTAATTATTTCATGGTGGTGGTTTATCTATTTAAAGTTTATCAGTTTACTGTAATATGTTTTAATAAAAGAATATGCTTGATGCATTTGCAAGTATCAAATCTTGTAACATTTTTTTTACCGCTACTATATTCAACAAAATGTTTTGTTTAAATTATTATCAATTGATTCTGAGAGTTGTAACTTTTAAAGTCTAATTAAAATTTAGCATGCTATTAACTTTATACAAGAAAATAATTTCAAAATAGTGTTCTGGAAGAAGATCGCTGCTTATCTGTCTGCAGACGTCAACGCGAGGTGGAACAAAAGATGGTGGAAGAAGAAGCAGCCAAACGTATAGAAGAGCTTGTACAAAAGAGAGTAGAAGAGGAGCTTGAGAAACGTAAGGAAGAAATTGATGCAGAGGTGCAAAGGCGAGTGGAAGAAGCCAAGAGGGCTATGGAGCGTCAAATGATGGAGGAAATGGAATGGAGACAAGCGAAACTACGAGAGGAGGAGAAACGAAGAGAGGTAAGATCTATCCATAGAAATATTGGTCAGTGATAGCCCAAGCGCTGTTATGATCAGCAGGAAATAAATTTTAGTATTCTTTTAGCAACTTTTCTGAAACTGAGAGGCATACGTAGAAATGTATTTTTGCAAAGCTTAAAATCTTAACTAATATTATTTATAATATAAATATTTCGAAGGAACTATATTAAGGTTTACACGCAGACTATCAAATCTGTAATAAATAAAGAAAACATTCAGAAAATATTAGTATTAATTGTTAGGCCGGATCAAGTGCAATTTGTAAATCTTTTTCAATATTTAAATTTTTATAGCTTAAAATTACAAGATTTGCAAATTGTACTGTCTTTAGGAAAATGTATGATTGAAATTATGAAATCGACTCTCTCTCTCTCTCTATTAGTTTTAATTTATGATCACAGCGTTTGGGCTAGAAGCATTGTGGTACGCGATTATATTATAAGAAATTAAGCGGAGAAACCACACTGCTTCAACTTCTCAGCATCCACTGAGGTCGCGTTGTTGAGAAGCTGTACTTTATGTTATTATGAAAGAAATGCTGCTACATAGGCGCATATCGGTTATTTATGATCAAATTGTACCATGTATATATATATATATATATTTATATATCTCTGTACAACATTATAACCTTTTTCATCACACGATATCTGAATTGACATTCGTGTCAACAATTCTAGAAGTTGTGCTTAAACTGCTCTGATTTCTTTGAATCGGCAGTGTTCACTCAGTTTCTAAAATTGTTGTGCATGTTGGCGAATCTACCTATATCAGGCTTCTTATATACTTACTCGAGCTAGCTTAAAAAAATGTTCGCGTGTGTGACTCCACATTATCACATCATACAATCTTTAACAGAGCAGAAGAGAAAATATTATTGAAAAAGTAACAATCCCAAACTTTGTAATTTATTGAACAAGAGAAGTTTTTCTTGAGTATGAAATAAAGTTATTTTTATATGAAATCATAGGAAGGTAATAATATATATTATATCTTTCCTGAGCAATTCTTAGTCGGTTAAATCATTGTAGTGATAACATTACGTTATTGATATTGCATAAAACATATATGTCAAATAGTATAAATAAGAATAGTTTACAATCCACTATAAATTTAGATTTTCTTGATTTAATTATATACATATAATTAAAACTATGATGTATACATAGAAATGTAAAAGTATCATTTTTTATGATTATGATTCTTACATCATTATATCTTGCTTAAGAAAAAAATATTTTGAATATATTCTCTATGAATCGAATAAGTATTGTCTTTTGAATTCAATATTGACGCAATAATGCCTAATAATTTATTTCTGCAGTATTATTCCACTTTTTAAGTTTAACTTTTTATTTTACTTAATAGTTATTACTTAAAAATATAACAATGAATTACAGTGAAGTATTCTGTTATGTAATTTACACATCAGAGAGCTGTAATAGTTTTGTTTACAAAATTTCTTTTTATTTTATTTCGTGATTAGGATTTTATTTGCTGCTACATTTTTGTATTTATGCACAACATTTACTTTCATCTTTAAAAAGTCAACTCGCTCGTTGATTGGCAACAATCCTGATAACAAATTTGTTAGAGATTATACTCTCATTGCGCTTTGCATATTGGATTTGCACCGAATATGTATATCTCTACAAGTTTGGGAAAAAGTTTATTCGAATGGGAAAAATAGAGACTTTAAGGGGGCAGAATTAGAATCCCATAGCGACAAAGCACGACCTAGCGATATATAGGTCACCTTCCTTACTGACTACCAACAGAAGATGCCGGTTTTTTACTCACTGCTGAATGATTCTCGATGAAGAAGGCATCCCCTACGTGGTGGCGTGAGCTTCATTCAGGTATTATCCAATTTATATATTCATAATTCATTTTATACCGATCTTATTATCATCGTTCTTTGTTTCGACACTTTGTACCAGAGAGAGCCATATGTTAGGGTTCATTCTATAGATTCGCAAAACATTATTACCATGGGACACAACGAATTTCCATCGACAGGTCGGGCAGATGGCAACAACCATTCATATAAATGTACTGTAGGCTATTAGTTTCTGAATTATTATATACAGACCTCATTTAGAAATCTCGCCTATAGTTATAATGTTACAAATAATATTACACAGAAACAGATACATATACACTTATCACATTGAGTTTTTATTATGCACTTGTCAGAACGGTATTATGAAAAAGAAAATTATATTTTTTTCATATATATTCTTGCATGCACACTAATTTGTATAAACTTATAAAAGATTAATCTTTTCTCATATTCAAGTAACATCCTTAATTATTGCATTTACCTTTGGACAGTCTGAGATAAAAACAGCGTTTGCTGGGTTCTCAGAAGAAAAATACGTTTGACACAAAAAAAGAACATTGTTTAGACACACATCTTGTGTCACTCTCTGTGATTATTTCTCGTGCTAAGCCATTCTTTTTTCGAACTTCGACTTAAATTTTATATATCCCAAACTTTCCTGCATAAAGGTTCTTAGGATGTGTAACACTAGGCTGTTGACATAGCAGCACTATGATTTCGAACGATGTAACAACAGATGGTGATCAACAACATCATTGCTTTGTGTAAACCTATTTTGTTGTCATTGTAGGAGGAAGAGCGGAAGAAGCGCGAGGAACTAGAGAGGATTATGGAGGAGAACAACAGAAAGATAGAGGAGGCTCAGAAGAAATTGGTCAGTAGTTGTATCGATATTAATTATAATTTATGAAATGTATGTGTGAAGTATTATTATGCAACAAATGCATTTATAACATTAGGCTGAGGAAAGGTTGGCCATGGTTGAAGAACAACGGTTAATGGAAGAAGAAAGGCAAAAAATGAGAAAGGAACATGAAAAACGTGTTAAAGAGGAGCAAAAGAGGATTTTAGGCAAAAACAATTCAAGGCCTAAGTTATCTTTTACATTAAAATCGGTTACGTAAGTTTAGTATTTGTATTGTTTCATGCAGTTTTACATGTGATATATACACGAAATCTTGTCATCTTTCGTACTTGATTCGCGAGAATAGTTATTATAAATTATATCTATGTAGGTATATAAGTATACTTATATAGATACATAGATAAGTGCTGTAATATAAGATACAAAGCTCACCCTAATGTATTCAAATATTTGTTGAAGTCATACAAGATGAGAACTGATTATTTAATTTTGATGTATGCTAGCATACATCAAAATTAAATAATCAGTTCTCATCTTGTGAGACTTCAACACAGATACAGATGGGATTTCATGTTACATGAGATTATGCTAATATCAGTATGAACGAATATAATTTGTAATGTAAAATTATCGCACTTTGTACATCATACTTTGTTTTGTGTGTAATTAATTCGTTTACTGATATAAGCATATTCTAGCTTGTTTAGATGTGTTCCATGATTTATACATATGCTATTTGTACATCATAAGTCCTCTATTCTATTATTTTATACATCATTTCGATATATAAAAATCAGTTTTATTTCAGTAAAATAAATCGTATATATCACACATTAGATTATGTTGCAATAATAAATTGATTGTTTATATAGTTAAATTGGCCGAATGGAATTTGTTAATGGAAGATACGCTCACATTATTTCCCTTTTTTAAACAGTTGTTTTTATGAACAACCTCCACGATAATAATGTTCGCAATGATTTTATTGGAAGTACTGTAAACACCGGACAACTATTTTACAATTATATTAAGATTATATATTATCTAAATAATGTATATTATTTCGATCTGACGCAAAATATATTCTGCAAAATGGCAAAATGGAACGATATACGTTTTACGATTTAAAAAATCAAATGAAGTAATATAACGATTTAAAAGTTGCAAAAGTGATGAAAATGATTTTGTACGTGAGTAATGAATGTGGACACGTGAAGCGTGACATAATCCTATCTACCGTGTAATAACGTGTATGCATTGTTCCATAAAAAGAAAAACATTTTGTCTATACAGGACATTGTATACTTATAGCATTGTTATTTGTAACATAAACTCGTTTTTAATAAATCGTTGCTCTTTGATTATTCTTCCATTTACCATACGTTAGACAACATATAATATAAAAAAAAGGAAAAATGTTTTTTTATATATGTACATAGTGAGATTTATGACATTTTGTTTATATACGAAATTGTTTGCGTTATATCTAACCGATTATGATAGAGATTGAGACAGTTCTTTGCGATATAGATTTTCTGACAGATGAATTTCAGCAATGTTATTTTATACAGTTACTTATTATAGTTGTATATTACATTGATGATTTTGGCGTTACGAATAAACCTTTGCCACGAATGCCAAGATTCGTACCTTGTCCCAAAATATTCACGCCGCAACATGGATTACGTTGCTTGTAAATACATTCGAATTTTCCTTGGGGTGCTTTTTTGTTTTTACGCCGATCCAAGATTACTAAAGATTGTAACGTATATATAATAATGTAACTTTATATGTAAATATATTTTCATTTCTGTAATCAGCATACTTTTCATTGCATCTTCAATGACTTCTGGATAGAGTTTTGCGGTAACTTCGCTGCTTGGAGGATGCAATCGTGGATTTGTATTTATTTCTAACAGCCACACCGAAAAATCATCGGCCACAACGAAATCAGCGCCATACAATTGAAAACTGTTTTTACGATTTACCATATTATCCTGAGATGCCAGAAGCGCTCCTATCAGATTTTGTTTTATTCCCGGCCTAATAATCTTTTCCCAAGCCAATTTTTTATCACGTGATCTAAATTGATAATTAGTTGATTGACTGAATAGTTTTAAATTCTTTAAAAGATAATGTAAAAAGTACTGGAGATAATTCTTGAAGTGTTGAAGATTCCAATGACGTTGCTCAGGTAAGTCAGAATTGCATCTCGGTAACTGTCGATACTTCAACTGTACCGTCGTGTTGCACAGGTGAATAGACTCATGAAAATCACTGAGAGTGTAATCTTTTGAAGCGAATCGTATCAAGATATCCCTGATTAGATAACTTAAACTATTAAGAGCTCTCTGCAGTAAAAATTAGAAATTAAGAAAAAAAATTATAAATATACTTGAACATCCATACGACAAGGGGCTGTGTACTCGTTATTAGAAACCATTGTCTGATGTCTATTTTTGTTTTATGAACAAGCAGTGGTCGCTCTACAAATTGTAATTGTAAATGTGATGAATATCGTTTAAAAACTTTATTTTACTTACTTTAGTTTATAATATTTAACATTAAATGCACATGATACGTGCCTATGTATTTCTGCACGACATACTCGACATTTTCTTTCGCTGCTTGATTCACCTTTGCAATGATATCAACTAAAGAATTTTTTAGAACAATTCCGCGACCTAAACTGTCATCACCTGGTTTTAAAATCCATATATTTTTTATACCGTCGATGATATTTTGCGGTCGATATTTTATCATTGTTTTCACTACATTGTGCACTGATGCTACAAGCTCCTGTAAAGTCCAGCATTCTTTAACAATATTTGTCCTTTTAAATTGTTGCACATCAGTATATGCCGTTAAAAAAGAGAAATTGCATTATAATGTTTATGCATACATTTATGTCAACTTCATCGGTTTCCTTCAATAAAACGTGCTTGTATAGTATATCATGATGCCAATCTAAAAATTGATCCCAGACAGAAGGAGGCGTATAGTCACAATTTATATGGTCTATGTCCTCATGTATTTGAATGCTAAAAATATTTCGTACCAGTACTTTTATAATACAATTTTACAAATCAATAATATTGCTTACAACCTTATATATTCTTCACAGCGTTCTAAGGCGAACGAAATCATATTTATAGGGATTGTTCCATTTGGGGACCAGGTATTCTTCGGTCCTACCAAGTTGGTAAATAACATAAACCATTTTAAAATCCCGAAACATGCAGTGATATAATAATCTTGTATAAATTCCTCCATTTGTGCTGACTATTCAAATAATTCTCAAATAAATATAAGGTAATGTAATGTATATATTAACATTTTAATGTTGTAATTTACATACATATACACATAATAGAGAGTGGGTCAGGACGAACGATACAACTGGAAGTTATTCTATATGCAAGAATAATAATACAAGAGGTTATTTTACATTCAAAAATAAATTTAAAAATGTAGAATAAACTTTTCATATTCGCATCATCATCAAAAATTCTACATTTTGACTTATTTTTGCTTGTAGAATAACTGTTTGGTTGTATCACCTGTCCTGACTCATTTTGTATTTACTTGATAGAAATTGTAGCATCGAGGAAATTGTATATTTGACACACCAGCTTCGTAAAACCAATAGGCTTTTTCCAAGTTGTTACACATGTCAATCTATAAATATTTTGCTAATTAAAAATTTTTTATTTTGCAATGCATTTATAAATCGAATTACCTTGGATGTAAAATAGCTACCAGCAAATTTATTCACGATAGTCTTGTCGTCCGTTCTTATAGTAGGTCTCTTACTCGTATGCCATATAAAATCCGCAGGAATCCGGAGTAATTTTTCTAACTGCTGTAAACCATCTGAAGAAAGAAGGCATTGACTTTTAAATTGATAATTGATAATGATCATAAATCAATATAAAAAATACGACCTTCGTATGTATTAGGAGGGATTGATATCATTTTCCTGATGGCTTTTTTATCAATCCAACCTCTAGCCGTTAAGGGTTTCCTTAGAACTGGAAACGTGCCGTAAATCACGTAGCATTTATGCTCGGCCAAGGCTTTCGTTAAAATTTTCAGTAGAAGATTTATTCTGGCTTCATCGTTTGTTATCAATTTTAAATAATCTGTCAATCTTATGTTTCCGTTTTCCTGATCGCTCTCTTTGTCCGCTCCTAACAATTCTTTGAGATCTTCACGATTGCAACAGATTTCGGCATCCGCAGTTTTTATTGTCTCTGTCGCATATTGTGAATTGCTCTTCAACTTTGGAACCGTTAAAATCAATTGCAAATTTTTTTCATCGGTGTTTACATCTTTTGGATGTATCTACGGTTTTATAAAGCGACGTTGCTAATAGAGTAAAATAAATCACGGAAATTTATAGTGAATATATTTATAATCCATTCTTTTAATGCCAACCTACCTGCCAACCTTCGAAATGTTTTTTGATTGTGCAATTTTTCGAGGATAAAATTATTTGCCATTTAGATTGACTGTCAATGCAAACTACCGAATCATCATCGTCGCAATGCATTTTATGTTTAAATTTTATGTTTAAATGTTTAAATTAAAGTTGTAAAAATTACGCTTTCAATTTTTTTATTTGAATATTTCTTTTATATATACGCGAAATTTTTTCTTTTGACTTGACAATTTACTACGAAAGTAACAATTTCCATTTTAATTTTTATCGATTATCGTGTAACTCAATGACCTACATTCATATTTCATGACGTGAATCTTCACTCACGACCAACAAACGTCATCACGATCGAAGATAATATATATATATTTTGTGTCTTCTCAATTTTCTTGTTATCGTTTCATTCAATTAAGTTTTTCCATTTGTCATCATGATTCTTATATTTATTCAATGTTTTCTTCATTGACTCATTCAGGTATTTCTCTACCGCAGGATTTTGAAAGACTGGTTTTTGAATCTCATTTATCTCGTACTTTTGATCTTTCGGGAACGTGGCAAATAATTTTCTTTCTTGTTGTTTGCATTCTTCTAATTGAGAATGCTTAAAATCTGAGCATTCTAATTGATCTTTTGGAGGAAAAACCTTTTTGTCATTTGTATTTTTATTTTTACTCCGAGTAAATTCTTCAATCTTTTTTTTCACGTATTTATTTCTTACGTGTTTCTTTGTCTCATCTTTTGTATTATCTCTTTTACAATCGAATGCGCTAACATTGATAAAACCTTTATTTTTTTGTGGGAACATCTTAGTATTATCGGACTGGAAATTTTACATACAATATAATTCAAATGATTGAACTCGGGATTGTAATGAATTTATCTCGATTGCTTGAAGGTC